TTTCTGTAAGGGTCTCAAGAGTCTCTACCTATGTAAACCACAACATTAAATCAGCTTTACCTGAAGTTTACGAGCTGGCTTATTTTTATGCGGAATTTCTAAAAAGTGCTCTGTGCATATGGTCAATTGGTTACCAGGCAACACAACAGGTCCTCTAGCTCAGTGTTTCTCAACCAGGGGTCCGTGGACCCCTAGTGGTCCTTGACATAAGGCCAGGGGGTCCGTATAAAGTATGAATTTTTGTATAAATGTTGTATATTTTGACATGACATGTTCCCATGAAAGAAAAATCCAATATAGCTGATGATATGGCCAAATACTGGACAAGTCAGCTAACTTGAATTATACTTGACTGCATTTGGTCCTCACAAAGACACAAATGATACGAGTCAATTTTGTTCTGGGGGTCCTTGAGGATGGTTCTGAATTGGACTGGGGTCCGGTACGCCAAAAGGTTGAGATTCACTGGACTATAGGACATTATGAGGAAATCTGCCAAATTGCATGTACTTCCGATGCTTTGGTGGGAAACCGCAATTTCTCAATTATGAGCCATTATTTCAAATGTAAATAATAGATGGATGCTGTAATATTAATGTTGTGCATTAGACAGGAAATCCTTTTAAGTCGAATCAACACTTTAAGTCTAATGTGAATGTGAAGTTTTCTGAGTTCCTTTTAAAAGTTAGTTTTCTCTTTGGGAACTAGCATCTTGTAAGCTGCTTCATGAAACCCACACTGTATAAAATTATTGTAATTTTAACGGTAAAAGTCTGTAAAAATATGGCAAAAACCTGTTAATTGGTTAATGGTAAATTCCCTTAGTATATATATGATGAAATTTTGTAAATCTATTAAATAACTGCTAACATTTATTACTAATAAATAAATATTAGGATTTATTAATAAATTCATTCTAACTGCTAGGCCACGGCTTCAACATCTGCTTTACTGGCAGTGCGCTTCAACTTTAATCTGCTCTGCTAGCAGTTTTTCCACTTTAGCTCAAGTGCTCGAGCTTATTTTGCGTACTGACAGTTTTTTTTTTTCCTGTGAAGATTATGCGCTATAACATCCCTGCGGCAAAAAGTCACAAGTTCTAAGTATCTATGCTTTTAATAATCCATTTCCTGCCCCTTGACGATCCAGTTGATTTCTGGAGTCTATCTTCCATGGCACTCTTCTTTCCTCATGTCGTTTGCGCTTCATTTCTCGGTAGCAGATGTCCTGTAAAATCTCCCAGGACGCTGTTGATAAACTCTTTCCATTTGCTATCAGCATTCCGTCACCTTCATTACCTGCCTATCTTCGCTTTGGTGCACGAATCATTTAATTTGTCATGCAGAGCATCTGTAGACATGTGTTATGGCGCAAGTGGAGCACGATGGGAGCTGCAACAAACAGATGGTTTGACGATTTGAGATACCTGTTTGCCTTCTAAACCAAAACCTGCTCAGAAAGTATGCACTGTTATGATGCTGAATGATTTGAGGCTTTATTAGATTTCTTAGAAACTGGTTTTCCTTCATAGACATGACCTTGTGGTTACTACACATGTGCTGTGAGTAGGCAATATGCTGGTGACCCGAGATTGAATTATATATCATAAAATCGAGCATAATGCATACTTGCTTATGTTTCTGGCCTTAGGCACGCATATGATATACAGTCCTATATGGTCACAGTACTTATTCAGTGACTCATGGGAATAACCCCTCACCTCACTTCAGGCGTCTGGTTTCATATTCCACATCCTCATAATGGATCAATAAACATCCAGATAATTTTCAACCCTCTTTTATAGACTCCAAAGTGAACCAGGTCACAAACAGACACATACCTGGACAGACCGTTAAGCTCTGAGGGGTTTCGCTTCAGTTTGTGGAGTTCATGCGAGTCCATTAACAGGTTGACACTTTAAGCGTGTCTCTGAAAGTTGATAATCAGCTGTGGGCCACATCATCAGCGCTATTGATTCAGTCAGTGACAGCGACACCCAGCGTTAGCCAATACTGTCACAAACCTGGATTAAAACGCACTCAGTGTAATTTCATGGGTAGATTCCCTTTCACCCCTCGGCTGTAAGTTTCTCAAATAATACTGATCAGTCTTTCTGTACATACTCATTTATCACTCAAGCATCTCCTGGTCAACAGGACTGTCCATTCAGATATATGTGGGTGATTCTATAATTGGAGATACATTTGGCATTTCATAAAGTTAAGAAAGAAAAAAAAACTCTTCACTAACAGAAATTATTTCCAGTATCTTATTGAAAACATATTCAATTTTAATAATTCAGTGCTTGCCAAACACAAGTTACTTCCTTTTGTTACTTTTAATGAAAAAACAGATGTCTTTATTGTATTGTTTGTCAACTCTGTTACGGACAAATTAGCCAATGTGCAGAAATAACAATAAATCATAAAAGGAAAAATCCTTCTTGTATCATTAGACAAACTTTATATTCCAACATTTGGAACTGAGATAATATTTGACCTATGCATACCTTTAAAATTAAAATAAAAATACCTATGTCTTCACACAATTGTCCGCTTGGAGCAAATATTTTTCATCTGAAAATGTATTATATACAATATCCAGTAAAAAAAGAGAAATGTTGTTGAAATATTAAAAGGGTGCATCATATCTCAATAATGTTTATGAGATTTTAAATAACAATTGTATATATTTTTTGTGAAAATAGTTCATAAACAGAGTTGACCCTTTAAGTAACAGAATTGTAATGTAACAGAATTGACAGAATTGTCCGATGGACTGTCAATTCTGTTACCGCATTGTCAGCATTGTTACTCTAACTTGGTAACAGAGTTGGACAGTAACAGAATTGACAATTTTCTTTATTTTTTGCCAAAAACTCCACTTGCTAGCATAAATGCTAACAGCACATGGCACTAATGAAATCATGATTACAATTTGTGATCAGTAATACATTTTGTTTTCCTTTTGATATTGTGGTAACAGCGTTGACGTTCTTCAAAATAACTCTTGGTAGAATAACTTTTTAGATTAAAATATTTTCTTAGAGAGAGCACACAGACTTTTCAGTGCTTCAGATCTTATCAGTGAGGGAAAGTGTCATAATTTCCTGTATCTTCCATAGTTGTGGGAGATAATTCCACCAATTTAAAGGCAAAACATGGTACGGTAACAGAGTTGACGCAAGATTTATGGACACACATTTTTATAAGAAAAAAGTTATTTTTAAACAATTTAATGTTGTAGAATTAAGTAAATGAGTATTTAGGGATTTTATAAATAAAATGAATGAAATATTACAAAAAGAAAAGTACAATAACATATTTTGATTACACAATGATACATGATGGAAAAAATGCCTAATTCGGACAACAAGAAATCATGATTTTGAGCTATATAAGACACTTTTTACACAAATTATAATATTGTTATTGACTGTAACATCTTGTAATTCATAACAATAAGTAACAAATTATTAAAATAATTAAAAATATAACCATTTGAAAAAAAAACAGAAAAAAATAATGACTTCGGACACCAAATGTACCTGCAATTATAGAATCACCCATGTAATAACTGTGCATCACTTTGATTATGTAGCTTGTTCTGACATTAGTAGCTGTAGTGTATATTTATGGTCTCATCATGGGGAATTTTTTATTGCATTATCTAACAAAAGGAAATATACACAGTAATTTACAGTGAAAGACAAAAGAATAATATTAAAACAAAATTATACATAAAGAGAAATTTTAAAAATGACATAATTATTCTAATATAATAATACAGATTACGTAAAATATACAAAACACATAATTTTAATAAGAATAAATAAAAACGTTATTGTTTTAATGTGACTAATAAAGTGCAGAAATAATACAAAAGGAAAATGAAATACAGTTTTGACATTAAAGAACAAAAGGTAAAAAAAAATGTAAATAATAATAATAATAAAAACTCTATAATTCATAATAAAATATATGATGCATAACGATATGACAGTAAAATCACAATAAAGATATGCAATGTTATAATAATATCGCTCAGTCTCTCTCTCCCTCTCTCTTAAGAAATGATCGGGTCAGTGATGCTCAGACAGACAGTGGAGCACTTGGATGAAGGCTTCGTCGCAGTGTGCAGCGTTCATTCCTGACGCGTCTGTCTACATCTGAACCCCCTGGACTAACGGGGACTATATAATTTACAACGGAAGACTTTATCTGATATGGAAACGCGTGCCGTGCTGCATTAATTCAAGTAGGGGACATTTTAGTGATGCCAACATCCAGAGAGCATCTGTGTTGTAGTTCGTACCAGCGCGCGTGGTGAAGTTGGATTTGCGGATCGCTTATTGTATCGAGCTTGAAACACAATCCGAGCCGTTCTGACACCGCGGATGTGTCTGTGTTGTGTATGGATGTGAAGACATTCTCTTTACATCGAGCGATGCGTTTCTGTCGTCTCTGACATCTTTTACGGGGATGTATGCAAATATCATCGCGCTTGTTTTTATGTACATTTCGCTGATTCGACTGGAGATGAATTGACGGTACTCGCGCCTTATTGTAGTGAAGATCCTGAGGATTTCGGAGGAATAAATGCTTATATTGCCAGAATAATCTGTAACCGTTTGTATTTTTTGGAATTTTTGGAGTTGAGTTCTTTACAGTTTTTTTTTATAGCTAGTTTGAGGAGCCAAACTGTGCTTCATGTGGTGATATATAACTTTACAGGCTTTATTCAAGTCAGAAATATGATTTATTATGACTGAATCAATCTGAATACACCTTACATCAAACGAACGGGTTAAATCGAGTAGAAATAGGACCCATTTAACTTTAAATTGCACAAACTTGCAAAATAACCATCATGAAGATGTTGTATGGATCGTTGTAACTGCTTTTAGCATCTATATAGTGTCACTAGGTCCATCTATGCACCTCCTCATAAAGATCAGCTGACCATCTAAGGGCGTGAAGTTCTTCCATCCTTCTAAATATCTGAGAGCTTTTAAACTTCAAGAAACATGGATATTAAAACGGAGTCTGAAGACAATCTGGACTGCGACCAGCCCGCGCCCATTGAAGTTTTCGCCAGCAGGTCCACGCTCCATGGCATCTCGCACATGTTCAGTTATGAACGCCAGTGCATCAAACGATGCATCTGGATAATGTTTTTCATGGGTTCGTTTTCGTTCCTGGTGCTTGTTTGCGTGGACCGCATCAAGTTTTACTTCCAGTACCCCCATGTCACCAAGCTGGACGAGGTCACGGCACCAATGATGGCGTTTCCCGCCATTACCTTCTGCAACCTGAACTCTTTCCGCTTCGGCCGCGTGACGCGCAACGACCTGTACCACGCGGGCGAGCTGCTCGCGCTGTTAAACGGCAGGTGAGTTGTGTATCCAGTTAAACACATTTTAAAAGGAGAAAATGAGAAGGACAATGGTTGTTTAATAACAGCCACAGAACAAACCTGTTACTCGAGAGATTTTACTCAGATGTGTTTGTCTCAGATATGATTCGTTTCTGTGGCAAGTTAGTAACCCTATAATTGAATCCACGTGCGTTATTATTGTTGTTGGTGGTGGGACAATACATCACGACTATATTATTCTTACGTTTTTAGAAAAATATTTAAAAACTAAAGAGTGCACCAAGAAACATTGGTTTTAATGAAAGGTAACGTAAACAGAAATGTAGTGACCACTAACGGTTGTCGCCATTTTCTTTGATTTTATGTGAAGCCACAACTGTCAAGCTCTAGAACTTAATTCAGGGAACATGTAAGCAGTTTTATAGAAGCTAATACTTTTGTTAATTCTGGCAAAATATCGCACCATGGACCCAGAGATTGTTTCTTCATTTAGTTCCCTATTTGAGCTTTTCATAGTTTTTCTGTTATAATTTATGAGGACCAATTGTAAGCTCAAAGACCCCAAAAGATTTGTTTGGATATGTTAAAGGTTATATTTTGAATAATATATATTCTGAGTTATTATAGCCTACATACTTACATATTACACCAAGTTTAGGGAAGCATATATGTTATATTTGTCAACCAATGTTGTGGTTCCATAACATTTGATAAGGTTTGTCTCAACAGTGTCTGATTGAGAACTTATAAGAAACGATTTTGCCTTTTATTTACTCTGGTTTACTTTTGTGGCATTTCATATTTGAGCTTTTTTTCTGAGCTAATTGGAGGTGGTATTTGAAAGATTTTGTATTTGTTGAAGCTTATATTTTGAATATTACACTATTTAATATTACTCAGATGGTTTTGAAAAGCAGTCTCCTAGCAAACACATGGAAACCGAAATGATCTTTGGTTGTTGACTTGACAGAGATAAATTATCTGTTTTATCTCAAGTCTGTATGATTCTCTGAAGTCTGACTATTGTTTGTCAGAATTTGACTGTAGTCATACACTCTTTGTAATTCAATCCAAATCGGTATTTTAGCTTTGATGGGAGTTGAAAACATAAGCTGTAAACATTCTGCCTCGTTGAAAATGAGAGGAGAGTTAGAAGGTTGACTTGCCTGTCTGCAAATGAAAAATGATTTCATCCCCTCAGGTGTTGAAAGCCCCAGCAAGGAATGAAGTGAATCATCATTGATTCGATGTAACTGATAACACCATGTGTTGTGCTTGTGGCCAAAGTGCAGCCATTAGAGAAGCAGAAGTTCTGCTCTGAGTTTGGGTTCTTTTCTCAGGACTGTGATTGTCATTCTGCGGTCGGAGCCGCTCCAGAACTCATTGAACACATCAGTGTCTCTATTGGCAGTACAATCTGTCTCATCGCTTTTCAATAACAACACATTTGGCAGGAATGAATAATTAATGTCAGGTTTAGATTTTCATTGAAAAGTCACGCTCAACTAATATTCACCTGGCTAGATTACCTTTTGGACGTATATTGCATTTGAAGGCTTTCTGGTGTGCTGTTTATTCATGAATAAACCGCTCATATGTCAGTTCCAGATTGAAGCTACATGCCTGTTCTTTGGCATTTTGGTTTGGTCTGTTCATATAAGCATTTAGGGTTCTGAAATGAGCCAAGTTTGGGGTCAAAACAAACATAAGACTTTGGGTGAGGTTCTAGCAAGTGGAATGTGGCTGTTAATTTATGTTTATGCTCTTGAGTGTAGATTTTGGTGTCTTGTGGAGACACAATGAGATCTTTTTCTCAGAAGAATCATCTTACACGAAGAGGACAGAAAACATCTCCACTTACTCCCCATTTAACCTCACTGTTGTGTAGGAGAAATATTTGAGATATTTTTCTATCCTGAAATAATTTCAGTGTTAGTTGAGTAACATATAAGGCATAGAATAACTTTTAGTTAGCTCATCAGTCTGTTGTTTGCATATTTTCCTCTATAAAGGCATCGCTGAGGTAACGTGACTACAGATAGCACATAGCAACCAACTGGAACCCAATTGCCATGGGAACTGGGAGAGCATCTAGGCAAAGTTTCCACTACTAACTCCTTGCTTGCAAACACAGCCAACTATTTGACTCAATGACCAATCAGATGAACAATTTGCATACTATATTTCCTAAATAGTATATAAGATTAGGGTAAAAGCAATCCACATAGAAGCAGCAATTTGGGTTCCCCAAAGAACAATTTTTTTCTTAGTGTGAAGAACATTTTAAAAATCTAAAGAGCCTCTCTCTCTCTTTTTTTTGCTGTAAAGAACCTTTTATGGAATGGAAAGTTTCCTTAGATGTTAAAGGTTCTTCATGGAACCACTGATGCCAGTAAACAACCTTGGTTTTTGAGGGTGTTTACACGACAACAATGTACTTAAAATGGAGAAGTTGTTCCTTGTGTTTTTGAGAAGTTTTGCATAGAGATGACAGTGTTGTCAAATAGATCCCTGTTCACACGGATCCATGAAAACGAGTAAACACTCTGGCTTATTCATGCCAGGCCAGTAGTTGGTGATGTCATTTTGTAAAGATACACGCACCTGCACACATACCTATAGACTGAACAAGTAATATGCATGCGCGTGACATCACAGTTTTCACAATTTTGACGGTCGATCCGTGTGAATCATATGGCGCTTTTCCACTGCGTGGTACGACTCTGCACGGCACGGCTCGGCTTGGTTTGCGTTTCCACTGCAGTTTAGTATTGCTTTAGAGTGGGCAGGATTATTCACATGTCGATATATTTGCGCCGCCACTACTGCCGCGACTCCTAAAAAAACGTTTTCATTCCGCGTCGACTCATCAAACTCTCGCTGGATCCGCTCCTCTGCTATCAACAAGAGGAACGTCTGTACTTCCTCAACAGACCTTCAGACTTTTTTTGTTAAAAAAAGGTGAGCTCGGTCAAAACAGTTGCGTTCGATCCTTCTGGCTGTGCTGATTTAAAACTAGCGGTTCTGTTGTGTTTGTGTCACAAGTTCAGTGACGAAGGTAGTGACGATTCTCTCCGGCCAATCAGTAATCAGTAGTTTTGGTAACAGTACGGTTGACTTGGAACCTCAACTGAGGTGGTACTAAAAAAAGAAGCTCAAAGTGGGCGGAGCGGGCCGTCACCATCTTGGCAGCGCGTTACCACGCGTCACTCCCGGATAATTGAAAATGGGCAAAAAGGCGGGAGCTGATTGCTGAAGCCACGCCCACCTAGCTCAACGGCAGTGTCAGCAACGGCAATCCACCTGTCACTCAAGTGGCCACGCCCTTAATTATGCAGAACTTTAACGCTTAAACGGATGAGTTATAAAAAAATTCACCCCCCTCACAGTTGTCAAACTTTAAACTCGTGATTTTAAATTATGCTTTAAATTTTGCCCGCTGTCATATTCATGTCATTTTCTGTGTGTGCTGTATGTAAAATGAGTGTTACCTTGGCTTTATTTGAAAAAATTATTAATGCACAAACTTTTCAGAATACTGAGTGCCCTGTTGGTTACAGTGTTTACTTCCTTTTTAATTATAGTTTTATTAAATATTTATTTATTTGTGAAAAATACTTTGTCATCTAAAGTATAAGTATGTTTATTTAACACATTTATATTTAATCAATTTTCAAATGATTTCGTATTTCTTAAATATTAATTAAAATAAAAAAAATTATATCGGCTTTATATCGGTCATCGGCCACCCTGCTTTCCAAGATATCAGCATCGGCATCGGCTGTCAAAAAACCAATAACAGTCGACCACTAATTCTGAGTGGCCTAATGTTGACATGTGGTTGCTAAGGTGTTCTGTGAGGTTTTAGTGTGTTGCTAAAGGCGTTCTGTGTGACACTTATGTTGCTATGTGGTTGCCAAAATGAGTGTTTTTCTTTGTTGCTGAGGTGTTTTTTTTCCATCATGTTGCTAAGGCGTTCTGAATGGATTTTATCGTGTTATACAGTTGCTAAGTTGATCTGAGTAGTTTTAGTGTTTTGCTATGTGGTTGCTAAGGCCTTTATTATGTTGCTATGCAGTTGCTGAGGTGGTCTTAGTGAGTTGCTATGCTGTCGCTAAGGCATTCAGAAGGGCTGTCATCATGTTGCTATGTGGTTGCTGAGGCTTTCTGAGTGGTTTTAGCATGCTAGGGTGTTTTTTTTCTTGGTTGCTAGGTGGTTGCTTACTGTCCTAAGCCAAAAAAAAAAAATCCTAATAAGTCATCAAGATATGGTTCTGTCCCCTCCCCCCTTTTTTACCATCTGTTTGGTGAAATAATTTTTGAAAGACTGCAGCCGTAAATGTGATTACTAGTAGTAGTGATGCTGTATTTATTAAGCGGTGCAGTGTAGTGAGGTCATGTGATTACTGTGATTATCTTCTAATTGCAGCTATTCTGAAACATTTGTCACTATATACTATGCACTACTTTTATTAAATAGTAGGAATTGTACAATCTCTCTATTGTGCAGTGCAGTATTTAAGATGACGTGACCTGAAAGAGTCTGGATGTCAGTCAGTGACATTCAGATCATCTAATGCTCTAAGGTCTTTTAAAGCGCCTCACTCATCTTCAAAGATCGTTGGATCTGTGTGAAATGAGATCAGTTGAGCTGCGTTTCTTTCAGATTTTGTCTCTCTTTCAGACTTGTCTTTGTCGAGGTTAAACACCCAGAGCATTTCAGTTGATTTATCTACTTGTTTGCTGACAAACAATCAACTAACACCGAAGTTAATTTCTGCCTATTTTATTGCTTAATTAGTTCTATTCATTCCACCAGCCAAGTGGAATATTTAACAGGTGAATGATTAATGCTGGTGGACTTGAAGGAGCAAATCTGTATATTAAAAAGTTCAGGGAATAAAAGGCAAAGAAAAAATATGAAATGACTAGAGCGTGTAGAGTCAGAAAGCGGACAGATTTCATGTTCAAGCTTCAGAGATGGTCCATGATCTCTAAGACCTCAAACACTTCCT